CGACATATTAGAAATTCGCTGCATTCCTATAACTTTTACTACGGAAACATCTTCCAATTTTAACAATTTCACTCATTATTTTCTACACGTGTCACGGGATTTCGAATTATCATTACCATTTAAAGAGGATGGTTGGATGATATTCAATATACAACAAGTTGGTAAATATCAATAAATGGACTTTATCATGACTTATTTTTTGTCTTTATTTTACATACACATAATTGACATAATTTAATTTTTTTATCTATTTTATTCATTGTCCTATGAAAATCAGAGATATTTATTATATAACTATAACAGTTTTACAATGTTTTGTGTAATATTCTGCATTATTATATATATTGATTATATATATTATATATGTATATATATATATATATATACACACAGATATATATATATATATATATATATATATATATATATATATACAGAGTGACTCGCGTATCACCTTTCATAGGCAGGTAGAGCAGGTCGAACCGAATAGAAAAGTCCTGTACCATTTTGCGAAATTCTTAATAATTAATGAGAAAAAATTAATTAATAAAGATCAACCAATAAGCGCGCCTACAAGCGCGTGGCGAAAAAAGACAGCCCATATAATTGCACTGTTGCTTGACGCGTGGCGAAACGGAAGAAGGGACGCTTATATAGTGACACATTCAACTGTCATCGAATGTGTCACGGTATAAGCGCCGCTTCACCCGTGCATTAAGATGTAATTGCGTTTTATTTATATGTATTAAATTTTTCATACATTTTTAATTTATAATTTATATAAACAAAAGTATGAAAGAAAAATTGAAATATGTTTGAAAATAAGTATATTAATGATAAAATTATTTATAACAATAAAAATTGATAATATTTATTTACTATTCAACAGGATATTATCGCGTTAACTATGATGATGAAAATTGGCGAAAAATTTCAAGTTATTTAAAATCAGATAATTGCACGAAAATTCATGTTCTTAATCGTGCCCAAATAATCGATGATGCATTTCATTTAATGATAGCAGGCCAACTCAAAGCCTCTATATTCTGGGATCTCACAGAGTATTTGCATCGAGAAGAAGATTATGTGGCATGGTATCCTATGTTTAAAGCTATGGAATACGTATATGGTGCCAATACTCATCGTGTATGGGAAAACATGGAGGGATATATTACGGTAAATATTAATAAATTTCAATGAAAATATTATATTTTAAATGTTTGCATATACACTCATTGATCACAAATAATTTAAATACTTAGAAAAATATTTCCAGCAACAATAAGATTTTACATACTATTACGTCGCAAACAAATGTGCAAACAAATTTAGTTTGAATAATCACTTGAATACTCACTCGAAGAACTGTCCAAAAAGTCTATGATTTTCACTACTCCACATATTATTGTATATAACATTGTTATCGATATGTAGTAAGGTGCTTAATTTTTGTCAATAAATGCAATTATATTAGCTTTACATCAATTTTACATGTTAGTAATTTAAAAAAATTAAACATATATATTGAGTTGGAAAAATTTAATTATATATATTTTAAAACAATATATTAATTTTATATCTTATTTAAAAATAAAATATAATTGATAAATAGTTATGAAACTTTAATATCTATTAAATATTATAAATATTTCGCACAAATTAAACCATATTTTTGCGTACATGTATAATACATATGTATAATTGCACGTATATGTATATGTACGTGAATAGATAAACGTTAGCGTCTTTGTCTTAAGTGAATTTGTATGTATGTTTGTTTTCTAGAAAGAGAAAATTTTAAAAATCTATTGGAAAATAATTAAAAAAATATAATAATTTTTTATATATATATATATATATATATATATATATAAATATACATTTATAATATGAACAAATAAATGTATATTTAACAATTTTTAGACGAGAGTAAGATACATTTTACGCGCGCTACTTGAAAGAATCAAATATGAAGAAATTGATGATACAGACCAACTTAGAATATGTTTACGACAAGAAGCTGCAAGATGGGCATGTTTTCTCGATGACCTTAATTGTAAGGAAGTAGCCAACAGGAAATTAGAACATCATCTCTTAGATCCTACAAAACACAAGTAAATATTTCGATATGTATATATTTTTTAGCCTTTCTTAATCAAATTCTCTTGTATCGCTATAATGTTCAAATGATTTGATCAAAAGATCCGTATGTTAATCTTCAATTAAAAAATTTAATTTTTTTACTATGTTTTAGACTTTTGCCATGGTGGCAGGAATGGACATATTGTAACGGTTTGAAAACAATTACCAACAAAAAGACTTGGCAATTAGTGTATAATATAGGATATAAAAAATCTGACACTAAATTTATAGAATATTTGGCTTGCAGTAAAGATACTGATATAACTAAAAACTATTTAACATATAAACCTTTTTCTAAATTAGAAAATCAATATCTTTTTAACAGTTTCTTACATATTATTACGAAGCATGCGAAGAATCGAAATATCCTGATGGACATATTAAATGACATTTTTTTTAACATAAGACCAAAGTAACGTGACATATTTTTATAAATATTTTGTAAAAATATATTGTGTTTTATATATACATTTGTTTTTTCGTTTTTAGACATGTTGATGTAACTGCAGCATTAATTATTATTATTAATAACGTATATTCCGTAAATCTAACTGAGGTACAGATTTTATATATTTATATATGTATACAAAATGTGATAATAATGCAATGTTAATAATTATTATTTAATGTTTAAATAATTTTGATAATGTTATAATAATGTTATTTACTAATAATACATTTTAGGAAATAAAGGAATACGTTATAAGGTTCAAGTTCCACGCAATCTTATCAATTGAGAAAATGAAAGAAAAGGTAAAAATAAATATTATTATGGAAAGCGAAAGAAAAAGAAGTATTGTTCTATCTCTCTTATTAAATTCTGATTATTAATTTTATATTTGTTTTGATTATTATATAATCAGTATATTGATTTTAATGTTTAATTTAAATCTTTTATATATATTAGGATTCCATAATGCTGAAGTCTGATAAAGTTGAAAGCAAGATATCAATTCGCAACTATCAAATCGAAAGACAGAAGCAGTATTATGAAACATTTTTCTACCAGCAGAATAATTACACGTTAACATACTCTTCTTCCAATCAACGCGATGAATTGTGATATTAAAAAATTATCTTATAATACTTTTCTTTGTATTATTTACGTTTCGTACTATTTTTAAATGATAAATGTCGAATCTGTTTTAGCAATGTAAAATGTGTATAACAGTGTTGCAACATAAACAAAAAATTCGAAAAAAAATCCGTTATGCTATATGTATAATCAGAAAACAATTAATATTTCTTGACCTTATAGTTCATCACTTAGAATATAAAAGCAGCTATTATGTGTAACACATGCACTTATATACATATATTTTTTGTACATCTTATAGTATAGTGTTTTTAATTATTTTTAATTACAACTTGTGATGCATTAATAATGTTTCATATATTTACAAATATACTTTACAATTTACGATTCACCGAATTTTTATTTTTTTTTATAACATTATACATCCTATGGTTAAATATGTATAAAACAAAAAAGTATATTAATATTAATATAGGTCTGCATATATTAAAATAATTCGAACAATAAACAGGCTATGTGATCCAATCCAGATGTTTGGATGTTAAGACAGCGAAAATTAATTTTTCGTTGTTTTATAATTGTGAACGAGGCACAAAAGGCAAATGTATATATTTTAAAGTTTATAAAGTCATACAACTTAAATATAAGTACATCAAAAATTATTTGTGCACTCAAGGCCAGTCAAGACTGTACTATTTACAAGGAAAGGGTCGGAAGTGTCCCCCTCCGATTTTAATGAGCTTTGAATATGTTGTAGTCTAGATCAAAATAGAAGACACGTATTTTTTTATAAGTGCTAATTTGGCCGTTAAGGGGGTGAAACACCTTGAAAAAAATCGATTTTTTCATTTCTCAGCAAATACCGTCGAAGCGATAAGAGATATAAACAAAAGTTTCAAATAAAAGTCTTATGGTTTTTAATGTACTTCAAAATCATGTAATCAGATTTGTCGAAAATGTCATATTTTTCGAAATCCCCCCCCTCCTTTTTAATGTTTGAAAATTTTTAAATTTGTCTCATAACAAAACTTATAACTCATTTAACGACAAATTCAATCATATATAATAAAGTTGTATTCCGAAGTCGCATTTTTCAGAAATAAATTAAAAATATCCCTATACACTACTATACGCCCGCTTTATCCGCCTCATGACGCTCGTTATTCACAGCGACAGTTATTTTTCTTCGCAAACTCACAGAGGCAACCATAAATTAGCAATAAATAATTTATGAGAATATATTTTTATAAATTATAGAAATTATATTTATAAATATAATTTATAATTATATAATATATATAATTATAATATATATATTATGTGACAATAAATATACATATAATTTATATGGAAAAGAAATGTTTTTAATGCATGAAAAATAAAACTAGTCGGACAAGGAAAATTATTGATTAGATGCCGAGGTTAATAGATTCAATTCTATGAATAAACAGATGTCGCATTCGCGAAATGAGTTGGTGCAATATATTATTTTATTAACAACTGCGTGCAGTGGAACACATATTACTATTAAAGCGTCTATCGAATATACGCGAGCGCGATAGTAAATATATTTATATATATAATAAAATAATTAAAAGGATTATAACTTATAAAGCGAGCGAAAAAATGCGTCGGGATAAGAAGGTCAGTTGCCCGAAGTGCTGATACAGCCAGTATCACACGGCCAAGTCATCAAATAGAGAAAGAAATCACTCTTGAAATAGCGCTAAATTGCAATAAAATGCGAGGAAGGAAGTCTTTGGACTTCCTTCGCTTGCATTTTGATCACGCCACTTTAGAAATAACTGATGATTTCATTCCACCGCGTCATGCCACCGCGCGATCCCTCTCCGATAATCGTTCAGAACCGGAGGCGTTAAAAATCACCGCCTAGAAGCGGCGGACAGTCACAAATCAGTTATCAAATAATTAACAAGTGCTCGAGTTAATTAACAAGACTAGCCGTTATCCTGAAAAAACAATTGTGCCCCACGCACACAACAATACAGTATGTATGTACTTTTTCGATTTTTAAAACTTTTATAGTTTTTTGCTTTTACTTACACTTTATTCAAAATTTTATCTGTTTTGTTTCAATGTATTTAAATTATAATTAATATTTTATTACTTTATTTAAGTTATTATAAATTATGTGATAAAACAGTGTTCTATTTTTTATGAAACTCGGAAAACGTAACAAATTATTAATACGCATTAAATAATAAAATATTTTTGTTGCTAATAAGTATTTTTTTGCTAATATTTATAAAACAAATATACATAATGTTAATAATTTTTTTAGATAATGTTTAATCCAAGAAATGTAGCAGTACTGCTATACACTGCACTGTATATGACTGGGGAATTCCCAGAAAGTCCTGTTACAACAGATGAAAATGAAACAAAAGACATGATGGAAAATATGCTTCGATCAATGTATGAAGAAGCGTTTGAAGTTTATGAAGAATCATCATTAAATTTTCAAAACGAATTGGATATACCTGAAGTAGAACCTGTAATTGATGAAGAAAGAGAAGATGACACATATTTTGTAAAAGAAATTGAATGTGTTGCAGATTGTGTACCAATAGAATATAAAAGAAATGCAGTAGAGTTATGGAGAAGTGGAACAAAAAAGTCAAGAACTCTTGCATCTATAAGAAATAGATTTCGGAAAATCACGTCATTACGTCAATTGAGAAGATGGGAGCAGCAAGTAAATCAAGGTGGCAGCAGATTTGATAAACTGAAAGAAATATCAACATATACGTTAAATAAATTTCATGAAGATATTGAAAAGGGAATAATTATTCATGACATTGATATTGCTCGATGGGCTATTCGCGCACAGAAGGAAGTACAGGGTTTGTCCGGAAAGTAATGCGTCGCATTTTTTTGTGACGCGACTATACATCGCAGAGCGATGGGACCGGTTGGGGAGGAAGGGGGGTACCCTTAGCTTTCCAACGGTAGGTCGCTCAATTGTTTCCATGCGCTTGGAGGGTTAGGACGGCTTATTCTGTGAACCTCTGCTTAGTGGTCGCGTCGAACTTGTGATGGAGAGAACGATAGAGCAACGCTATGCGATAAAGTTTTGCGTGAAGCTGGACAAGACGCCGCTGGAAACTTTTGAAATGCTCAAGAAAGTTTTCGGGGACGATTGCCTTTCCAAATCGCAGTCAAACAGATGGCACAAGATGTTTAGAGAAGGTCGGAAGGAGGTCGCCGACGAGGCCCGCGCAGGACGCCCGTCAACATCGCGAACGGACGACAATGTGACTCGTGTGCGCCAATTATTGAATTCAGACCGTCGAATGAATGTTCGCTTAATGTCGGAATTATTGAACTTGCCGAAAACGATTGTTCACGAGATTGTATCGGAAGACTTGGCCATGCGGAAGATTTGCGCAAAACTTGTGCCCAGAGTGTTGACCGATGCGCAAAAGCAACACCGAGTGGAAGTTTGTGAAGAACTCAAGCAACTCTGTGCAGATAATCCCAATTTCGGCGGACTTTTTTTTATTTCCTCGGCTGAAAAGGGAGCTCAAAGGACAACAGCTCGAGTCGGTTGACAACGTACAAGCTACTTCGACGGCCTCCCTGAACAGCATCCCAGTCAAGGAGTTCCAGAAATCTTATGACGCATGGAAATCGCGTTGGCAAAAATGTATTGACGCAGAAGGGTCATACTTCGAACAATTTTAAGTTGTTTTACCTATGCGATCAATAAATTCTTTTTTAAAAAAATGCGACGCATTACTTTCCGGACAAACCCTGTAAATCTACTTGGGTTTACAGCATCATTATCATGGGTAAAAAAGTTTAAGCTTGCACATAATATCGTATCTAGAAAAATTACAAAATTTATAACAAAAAAACATTTAGCGTCAGACAAAGATTTAGAAGCACGAAGCAAGTCATTTATCGAAAATGTTAAATCTTTTATTATACAATATGGATTGAAAATGTATATAATTCGGACCAAAGTGGATTTCAATTAAAATTTCATTCCGGTATAATTATTCCCTTTTCAATACCTTCATGGAATTTATTTAATGGAATTAATTCCATTAAATAAATTCCATGAAGGTATTGAAAAGGGAATAATTATACCGGAATGAAATTTTAATTGAAATCCACTTTGGTCCGAATTATATACATTTTCAATTCCATATTGTATAATAAAAGATTTAACATTTTCGATAAATGACTTGTTCGATAAATGAATTATTCCCTTTTCAGTACCTTCATGGAATTTATTTAATGGAATTAATTCCATTAAATAAATTCCATGAAGGTATTAAAAGGGAATAATTATTCATGACATTGATATTGCTCGATGGGCTATTCGCGCACAGAAGGAAGTAAATCTACTTGGGTTTACAGCATCATTATCATGGGTAAAAAAGTTTAAGCTTGCACATAATATCGTATCTAGAAAAATTACAAAATTTATAACAAAAAAACATTTAGCGTCAGACAAAGATTTAGAAGCACGAAGCAAGTCATTTATCGAAAATGTTAAATCTTTTATTATACAATATGGAATTGAAAATGTATATAATTCGGACCAAAGTGGATTTCAATTAGAATTTCATTCCGGTCGTTCACTATCACCTATTGGTATTAAAAAAGTAGAGCGCATAGTACAATCCATATCAGCAACTACATAGTTATACTATACAACCTATTGTTTCAGCTGATGGTAGATTATTATCGCCTCTGTTTATTGTTTTAAAAGAACCTACTGGAACATTTGGTCCAATAGTAAAAGAAACAATGTTTAAAGATAATAATATTTTTGTCATGGCATCAAAATCTGGAAAATTAACATCGCATCATTTTGAGATCTGGATAAAAGAAGTGTTTTTTCCAAATGTTGGACCAAAATCAGTGTTATTATTAGATTCTTGGACTGGTCATTGTCCTGATATAATTCAAAGAAACAAACCAGATTTTATAGACAATATTAATTTGTTAACTATACCAGCTGGAGCAACGGGAAAAATACAACCTTTAGATGTATTCGGTTTTCGTTTATGGAAAAATTTTGTTAGACATTTTTCAGATACCATCATGCTTTTAGATCTTGACGTCAAGCTTCATTCAAGAAACAATATTTTAAAATTACAATCATTAACACATAATCAATTTTCATCACCAAGGTTTAAAAATTTATTCAAATATGCATGGTATAAAAGTGGTTATTTAGAAAAGAAACCAGAAGAATTTGATACACCAGTAGATTTTTGTTTCAAAACTAATTTAAAACCAACATGTGATATTTGCGGTGAAATTGCTGTAATTTCTTGCGCATGGTGTAAAAAATCCCTTTGTATAAATCATTTCTTTCATGATCATCATCTTTGTAACCGATATCAACCATGAATATTTTTTATTCTTGTATGCAATAATTATGTACGGTATTTTATGTAATATTTCCATATACCATACATATATATAATGACTTAATAATGTAAGACAATGTGTATTACATTTACTTTATACTTTAAGAAATTAAATATTATAAAACAGAATATTTTGATTAGTAAAATACTCTATTTCTTTCAAGTATGTAATGTATGTTGTATATGAGCAAGGATGTTATCTGCAAAAATGTATAAATTAAAATATAGTAACATATAAATATGTTTAATTTATAAAACTTTTAACAAAAAAATGTATATTTGCATAAAAACGTTCTTATTTATCATTTAAAATTTGTTTACTTTATTATAAAAAACGACTATTTTTCTTAAAATTTAAGTTTATTCATAGAATTGGATCTATTAACCTTGGCATCTGATCAATAATTTTCCTTGTCCGACTAGTTTTATTTTTCATGCATTAAAAACATTACTTTTCATATAAATTATATGTATATTTATTGTCACATAATATATATTATAATTATAGATAGATAGATAGATAGATAGATAAACTTTATTGATTCCCCGTAGGGTTACAATTAAAAAACATACACAACATAAAACAAAAACGCTTATATTATCCTCTTAATCTAACTTAAACCTACTTAACCTAAACGCTTCTAAGGGGTTGAGCTTCTACTTCGGGTCGCCCTTATGACCTTCTCCCTTAGACTTCCGCTCAACCCCCAGTACACACACACCACATCTCGCCGCGCGGGGTCCGTTCCTATTGCTTTCTACTCTTTACATTTCTTCTCCCTTCCTTATTCTCTCATTCCATTCCCCTATTCTTTTCTCCTTCCCTCTCTCTCTCTTCTCAATCCATATCAGCCATCCTCTTCCCTCTCCTCCCTCTCCTAAAATTTCTTTGACTACCTCCTGCCAGCTCCTTCCCTTTCTCTACTTATTCTGCATCTTTCCCATGTATGCTCCCTTATATTATACTTATATAAATTATATA